CTCGAGTGGCTTGGTGAATATGTCTGTGAATATGTCTGTGGTGGTGCAGGCAGTAAAATGCCTGCTGTAACATCAGTGAACAGCCCTTAAGGCTGTTCGAGACCCACCGCGGCCGGGGTGGGCTCCCGGCCCATGTCTCAGCTCCCGCCCACCCAGCGGTTCAAAAGCGCAAGCAAGTAGATAATTGGGTACCTGACCCTAGGTGGCAGGGGGCACCCTCCTCCTGATGGGGGGCATGCAGCAGGAGCATTGGCGGTGGCGGAGCGATTGGCGAGCAGCCCTGGCGACCCAGTGGAGCGTGGTGGACATTCGACGGCGAGCGGCGGAGTTCCAGGCGGAGACTGGAGTGTGGCGGTGCAGCGGCACGGCAGAACCAAAAGGACGTAAGCCGGAGCTGTAGTCGGCGCATGACCGCACACCGGGACGAGTCCGCCAGGGGGAGTTGCTGTGCCAAAGACCTGTGCCAAGACCTGTCAACCGAAGATGAGGACAACGACATCTGAAGCCCGCTTGAAAAAAGAGCTGAATCACAACAGAGCCCTGCCCTGCGTGCCGGTAGGCAGTCACTTCCCTATGTAAAAATGTGGCCCTAGATAGGCAATTAAATTGTATGTAAACCGCTCAGAGACCCTTCGGGGTTAGAGCAGTATAGAAACTGAAAGTTAAATAAAAAAATAAAAAATAAATAAATAAATAAAGATAATCTCCTCAGCAGGACTTGCAGGTCTTTCTTGGATTTGGTGCTCTCACCTTTGCAGATAGCGATGCAAGCTTGATTGTCCTCAAACAGTATTATTGGTTTTGGTTCATCTATTCCAAAGTCTTTCAGTAGATGAATAATCCAGTAAAGTTCATAGCTGGCACTTTGCGCTGATACGCATTCAGCTTCTGTGGTAGAGATAGTTATGACAGATTGCTTTTGACTAGTCCATTCAATCAAACTGTCTCCATAGTAGAACAAGTATCCACTTGTAGATTTGCCATCAAGTGTGTCTTTACCCCAGTTGGCATACATAAGTCCGATCAGTCTTGGGTCATCACAGGCTGAGATTTTAAGTTTGTAGTCCAAAATTCCTATTAGATATCTTGCCAGTCTCTTTATAGCTTTCCAGTCATGGATGAGCTGGTCTTTCTGCATAAGAGTCCAACAGCTGAAGTTATATCTGGTCTGCAGATTGAGCTCAAGTATAATAATTTTCCAATTGCGGATCTGTATTCATGGTTGTCTTTAAGTAGTGGTCCATCTGTATTCTTGAGGTAATCCTTTTCAAGAGGAGTGCTCACTGGTTTGGAATGTTTCATTCCCACAGATTCAATAAAGTCCATGATCTTTTGTTTTTGGCTCAAAAGAAAACTTCCATCCTCAGTTCTTTCAATTTGTATTCCAAGGTAGTGCTTTATGGGTCCTAATTGTTTCACTTCAACTTCTTTGTTCAGTTCATCTGCTATTTCTTGTACATCTCCTTGGTCTTGACAACAAATAACCAAGTCGTCAACGTAAGTAAGTATGTATTGATATTGTCCATTTTTAAGTCTTGAGAACAAGCAAGGTTCTGCTGTTCCTTGTTGAAAATTCTGTTTTTGTAACAGCTTAGTCAATTTGTCATTCCATGCTTTCGCTGCTTGTTTTAATCCATAAACGCTTTTGTTGAGTTTGCACACTAGGCCTTCTTGTCCTTCCGTTGAAAATCCTTCTGGTTGTTCCATGTAGATCTCTTCAGTCAGGTCTCCATTGAGAAAAGCAGTTTTGACATCCAAATGTTCAATATGCATGCCCCTTGAGGCTGCTATGCTTAGAAGTGTCCTGAAGGATATGTAGCTTACAACAGGTGCAAAAGTATCAGAAAAGTCTATTCAAAATTTTTGTGAGAAGCTTTTTGCAACTAGGCGTGCCTTGTACTTGTCCACCTTGCCGCCAGGGTCATACTTAACTTTGTACACCCACGTACAGCCGATGGCTTTTCTTTCAGAAGGAAACTCAGTAAGAGTCCAAACTTGTTTGTCTTGTAAAGATCCAAATTCTTCTTCCATTGCTTCTATCCACTTGCTTCTCTCAGGCGCAGATAGTCTGTTGACTTCCTTCCAGTTATTAGGTTCCTTCACTGGTTGTACACTTGCACAAATTCCATACATCGGTGGTGGTACACCCTTGTTACTTCTTGCTGATTGTCTCACAGTGGTTGTCTCTCTTACCCTTGGCATAGCTTCTCCTGTTTTCCCTTCTGAGCTGGAATTCTCTCTTGGAGATGGACCTGCCTGTTCACAGGTGTTCTGAGCAGATTGCCAAGCGAACACCTTGTTGAAGGAGACATCTGTAGGTTCCTGAGTAGCAGGTTGCACTGTGGACTCAGCCAGGTTAGAAGTCTGTAGGACATTGCTTTCATCAACATGTACCACATTGCATACTTTAACTGTGCAAGTCTTAGGGTTCAGGTTTCTGTATCCTTTTCCTCCAGAGGCATATCCCACCAGGATACCAGGTTCTGCTCTTGGGTCAAGTTTGCCTCTTTTCTCCTTTGGTATATGTGCATAAGCTTTAGATCCAAAGGCTCTTATATGTTTAAGTCCAGGCATTCTGTTATGCCATAATTCAAAAGGACTTTTATTGGTAGTTTTTGATGGAACTCTGTTATGCAAATAGACGGCAGTGTGGACTGCTTCTGCCCAGTAAGACTCTGAAAGTCCAGATTGCATTAGCATAGAACA